TCTGATATAGGGCAACTGTTATTTCGATTTATTTCCAATCCGACACTGTGTGTGTAGATATCATAGACATGACTCTGTGCCTTAATTCTTTTGGTTTTATTCTTTTAGTTTGTATCTATTACACCTTGTATTACAAAAACCTTAATACTGACAACTACTAAACAAACTTTAAACTAAAAACAATATTTTTTTTTAATTTGGTGTCATAGGCATCGACTACTAAGGCCATTACCCTCGTGTTCTGTGTAGGCTTTGTTACTGTTTCCCAGCGCCACTTTAGGAACAGCACTGTTAATTAGAACTTAACAAATGGTCAAGGGAATCCTACCAAGGCATCAGAATTAATTTTAAATAATTAAATTAAAAAAAAAATCCCGGCCAACGGTGGGATTCGAATCTGAGACCCTTGGATCCACAGGCAGAGACTCTACCACTGAGCCACCCACCCCTCACAATGTTTGTTTTATAAATAACTAAAAAATGAAGTAGGAAAATCAATAGGTAACTCCGAGTAATTAATACTAGAGGGAGTCTTCCCCCCTTCCCCGCGCTAAATTTTGTTAGCAACATCTACTCCCCCCGAGGGGGAAAATATCTCTTCTGTTATTGGCTTATTTAATCAGCGTTGCCAAGTTTGACAGCGCCAGAAGTGTTCTGTGAGCGCCAGTTCTGACACTTTCTGACACATGTCAATTTCTTATTTGTATTTTACGGATAATATTATTATTTATAACGTTGTAAGGGTTGTAAATGTATATTTAGGATTTATTATCTCTAATAGTATGGTAAAAACATGCGCTATGTATAAAAGGCCTGTTGAAAATGATTCTTCAAGATAATATCATAAGTAAGTACAGACACAACCTAATTATCAGAGGCGGTGCATTAGGCAATCACCTTTAATTTGCAATTAAACTTTCTTATTTGCTTATCGAAAAATTAAAATTAAGAGCATGTAAACTCCAGCTAAGTTCGTCTTCATCCGTCTGTCTCATAATGATTATAGTAAAGGTTAATTACTTATTATTTTAATATCACATCTTTGTAAAGTTTATTGTTATTTTTTTAGGTTTCCTTTTCTTGATATGAGAAAGAAATACATGGTTCCAAAATATAGGAATTCAACAAGTGACCACCTGAATAACTTTTTATGCTAATGAACATTTTTATTATAGACCTCAGGGGAGGAAAATATTAAAGAAAAATGCAATTTCGACGAAAGAAGTATAATAATCAATCCTGTCACTACTTATACACTATATTCCTCTGCTACTAAAATACTAAAACAGCAAGTAAGTTTATTTCAAAAAGAATGTTTAAGGAAGAAGGCATAGCCATTTTTTTGTTGACATTTTTTTTAAATAATCTAAAAGACTAATTTTGTGTATTGTTTAAATTTTCATTTTTTGTACTTAATTTGTTTTAGGTTTAAACAAAATGAACTTAAGAAAACTATTCAGAGCCAAAAACATAAAATAGTCTTCCTGTCCAAAATATAAATAGGTATACATATTTAGATATTATGAGTGATTTTTTATTCTATAAATAGAACATAATTTGCTTCTAAATCACTACCTAATGAACTATATTATATAGTACAATACTAAACAAGAATATCACATTATTCATGTTTTTTTTTAATTTCCTTAAAAAACGTCCCAAAAAAATGTGAATATTTATTATTGGAGTTTACATCGTTATGCTAAAACAATACTAGAACAACTTAAATAATGTGGATTTTGACTATTTTGAGTTATGCAGATCATTATGATTTAAAAAAATGTTTGTCTGGTACTATAGTCAGGTATAAAAACATTCATTTATTTAAACACAGTTGCAATATACATTTTATTTAGTTTTTAAATTAAAACCTATTAGGACATCCTAAAATTACTTTTTTCGTTTGATATGAGATTAATTATTCTACATTTTTGTTGGTGAAATAGGATATATTAAGATGTCTTACTGTTTTCTTTGATTATCTTAAAAGTTAGAACAATATACAAAGACTGTTATAACAAAAAAGAGATATACCTTTACTTAAACACAAAATTAGTCAGTTGAATTGTACAATAATTTAAAGCATAAATTCAGAAAACTTTAAAAATGTGTTTTTACTATAACAAGGACATAATTATAAAAAAAAACTTGGCACATTAACTTTGACGATAGGTTTTTATAATATATATTATACAAATTACAACGAACTACACAAAACGACATTATTAATAATTTAGCAATAAAAAAGTTAAGTACAATGATGACATTAAAAGTTGAGTTTCTCGAAACACTTTTTTTAAATGGTCTGAGTACCTACTAGTGGTGAACGGATCCGAATTTTTAACGGATCGTGGATCCTTGAAGAAAAAAACCGGATCCGGATGTATCCGTCACCGGATTTAAATATAGGAACCGGATTCGGATTTCGGATCTCAGATCCGGATTTCAAATTCGGATCTCAGATCCGGATCTCAAATCCGAATTCTCTGACTCTTATTTAAGATCCGAATCCTACTTTCGGATAAATAGGAAGAGACAATAGCTAATAGATAGCTACAAGTATGATAATGTGTAAGTTATAGGCATACAAAAGAGGTATAATTTGCAAAAAGATATATTTTAATTTTTATTAAAGCATATAAAACAAATAAATACATTTTGAGTTGTCGCAGATACTATACATTCTTATTTTCATATAGAAATACTAGTATGTCTATATTTTCAAACGAGAGGCAACTTCTCTTTGCCCGAACAATATTTCCTGCTGTAGAAAACACAAAACAGAAGGTGTGAAGGTTGGAGGAATACAGAGGAATTTTCTCGATAGATTTGATAATTTTAAGATTTTTTTTTTTCATTTGCTTCTTACCATTTTAATGGACATCTATTTTTGTCGAAATCTTGTTCTTTAATATATTTTTCAACTTCATTCAACTCCTTAGTACCTGACAGTTTTGGGAAAAGGAAATCCAATACACTTGAGCTTTCTACGGTTCTTTCTTCTTGGTCTTGATTTGTTAATCTGCGGGGAAAGGGAGAGTATTCATGTTTCTAAAAAGAAACTAAATAGGCAACAGTATATAAAAGGTTCGCGTATCCGGTTCTTAAATCCGTATCTCGGATCCGGATCTCGGATCCGTATCTTGGATCCGGTTGTCGCATTCGGATAGATCCGGATCCGGATTGTTCACGTAGGAAAATTCGGATCAGATCCGGATCAGATCCGGATTAAAAAAAAAATCCGGATCTTATGTACAGCACTAGTACCTACCTAGTATTTTTCTAGCACAATGATATTATATGAATGTGCATTGTGTGATATCTTATATTTTAGGAATAAAATGATATATTTTTTGCAGGTTTCTGTTAACAACGATTCCAAGAACTTTTGAATATATTATTAAAAAGGCCTTTGCAAATATAATTCTCAATTAAGAGGTTTTCATCTAACATTAAATTTTTGTTCTCCATTAGGTTACAGCTTCCTAAGAAGAAAATTTAACAAGACTTACCAGACTCAAAATATCAAAATTTTACCAATCAATTGATGGTTCTACTAGTTTCCATGGGAAAATTCTCCTCGAAACTACTAAAAGAAAAGTGGCAGAGGCAACCGATGAAGGCAAAAAAGTCTTTTGCAAAACAAAAACTAGAAATTTGTTTAAGAATCTAATTATTGTTTGAAGTTTTACCATTAATAATTTTTTGATAACGATTTAAGATTATGAAGTTTTATTATGTATTTTACTCTTTGATAACCTATGTTTAAATTTTTATTAGGACCAAAATAAATTATAATTTTCATTTCAACTACAAAAACCCTCATAACATTAAAAAGATGAAAAAACGTTAGATTAGTTATGTTCAGGAATAAACTCTTTAAACATATATCTACTTAAAATGTGTTACTTTTAGAAGGTATGTTATTAACTTTCCATTTGTACTTGTATTAATTTATTTCATTTCATTATCTGTTGTATTTTCAAATTGATTTTGATATTAATCTTATCTTTTTATATATTTCTTATATTCCCATATATGTTTTTTTTTTCATTGAAACAAACGTTTATTAGCTTATTAAATATAATGAATTCATATTGTTTTATTATATGCTTGTATGAATGATTACTTTTATTTCCTTTTAAAAATGAATTTCGAAGATAAAGCCGAAACGGTGCCGGTGAGAGAGAATAAAAAATTAGACGAAAGTGACGATATTTACTGGAGCTTTCATCTACACCTGAGCCAGCAAGATTCGTCTTCCCTTCATCCTTATATTCTCCAGATTTACAGAGAAAACGCCGTCCTCTTTAACATATTTAGACCTTTGACGGGGACTATACCACTACATTATCAGCTTTATTTGTTATCCCGAGCAATTTAAATGCATTCGTAATTGCTCATTCTCATCTCTTGTAGATTCCGTACTCAGTTTTCTTATTTTTAGTTACGTTTGCACTGCTCTTTTATTTTCACAGCTTTAATTCTATAATGCTGTAACGCTACAATATGGATTCATTTTTGTGGTTTATACTATTTAATGTTATTCGTAAGTGACCAACCTATTAGAATAATTAAAGATTATTGTATACAGGCCTGAAGATGTTTCTGTAAGGCCGAAACTAGTCGCTACTGTATTTATTTATAATAAAATTGATTTTAAGGTTTTATTCTTCAATTGAAAAAATTAGACCGTTACAGTGATTTTGTTTCATTTCCTGCATTAGACACATATAAGACGGTATTCTTTTTAAATATAGTAAAATTAGCAAATTTTTTAGTTTTTTTTACAATTAAAACGTTTGGACAATGTGTGTTTTTATAGATAAATGATACGCCACTGAACAAGAAGGATGTTTACCTTCCCCCTTGTGCCCGCTTCCTCACTTCCTCTACAGATGTTGCTAACACAACAATCGCCTACAAACTCGTTTTCACGCTCCCTCTATTAGTAATTGCTCGGAGATAGGTAATTAATAAAATAATTTTGGCATTTTTAGATTGAACTATTTTTGACAGCTATCCGTTTGAACCCACCAACAGTGTCTCTAAAAGGGTTTGCTGATGTGAATAGGAGACTTGTTACATCTGTAAGTATATAAGCTTTGTTCGAGGACCTGCCGCCGACAAGTACACGACTTGTCACTGATAAATAATCAAAAACGTTTCAGCGCAACTGCGATTTGTAACATACTCTGACAAGAAATCACCGCGAACGACTTGTGTACCAAATAAATAACTATCATACACTTTAACTGCAAATAAAAAGTGAGGCAAAGGCTGTAAATTGTGTTTAATTTTTTATTAGTTCGAACATTAAATTTTTATAATTTATTAAAATAGTCGGCATGAATAAAAACTCAATCAAACATACCTCTTTGTTCCGTAAATTTTTTCACTTCATTGACGCAATTTTTGTATCACTTTTACTTACTAAGCATTTCCTGACAAATTGTCCACGCTAATGTTTGCTGATCATTTTGACTTGTCGGTAACTTGCCGTGTAGGTATTCTTTGGTACTACTAAAAAGTGCACCCAGGGTTGTTCCAGACCAGTTTTTGAATGTTAACTTTTCTACAATGAAATTGTGTAATTTTGTGCAGTTTCAGACATTTGACCACTGATCTGTCATTTGACATGAAAGTGGAAACTGACACTACTGACAGTGATGGGTGATGTAAAATCCAAGATGGGTCGGCATTACTGACCCATCTTCGCCGACAGATGGCCTTGGCAGCATAAAAAAATTTAAAAAATGATCTGGAGCGAATACAACACCTGTTAGTTGTCAATAATATTACCGATTTATTTATAAGTTACAAGCCAAAAACTTACCGATTCATTATTCACAATGCAATCACGCAATTACAGTGTATGTCTGAGAAAGTAACTTACGACTTAAATTTACGTACGATCTCAGATCACGCAGAACAAGAATAAATATTCGGGGAATTCCCCATTTCCATGATGACAATACCGAAAAATTTCTGACTAAATCGTCATCTGCCAGAGAATAATACAATTATTATATAATAGGTCTTTTTCTTTGCATCGAAAGTGTAGCACTGAGCTACGTCACTTCTGAAAATATCGTTCCATCCATACAATTTATATAAATGGAACGATATTTTCAGAAGTGGTGTAGCGCAGTGCTACACCTTCGATGCAAAGGAAAATACCTCATATGTAGCAGCAATACAGTGATGTGTGCAACTTTGTGAACTAAGCGCTAGATGGCGGTGAATGCATTAACAAAAAAAGTCAAAGACGTGATTCATGATTTCAGTATGCAAGCGAAAAAATTTGCTGTTAATTTTTCAATTGTGTATTTTTTTGTGTAGTTTAATTGTTAATAGTGCAGTAAACAGATCAAATTGACCATTGGGGTGCACCTGCGCAATCAATATATCAATTGTGTAACAAATTACACAATTGTGTAGCTTGAAACGACCCTGAATGCACCGCGAATGCTGGACATTTTGTCAAAATCTCTGATTTTTGGCTTCGCAAACGCCTAGAATCAAAACGCGCATGCTCATCTGTCGTGGACTTGTCGGCGACAGGCTCCGCGAACAAATATAAAACTACTTCCAAAAACGATTTGTTAATTATTGTAAATTATTTTCAGAGCGTAGCTACAATCGCTATATACCTTATTGTATTGCTACAATTCAAGATCAGTTTAGTCAATTTGAAAACTTAGTTACTCATCTTAGATGCTGATTTGTAACATTTTTTAACTTTCTTTTAAGTAGAAAACTCTTCTTTGAAATGTTGGTTTGCCTTACTTGTCACAGTTCATTGTTTTAAGCTATAAGATTGGTAGTTAATAGTAATGAAGATTAAATATGTAGATAGGTAATTTATTTTTTATAGTAAAATTATAATTATAAAGTATGTGTTTTAAAATATAAATTCAGTATAAGAAATGTTTTATTTTTTATACTTCACAACGTAATCTTAAATAAATAACTATTTTAGTCATCAATTATTTTTATAATGAACTTGTCACGGTATTGGTATAAGGCCGATATCCTAATCGTTATCCAGACATCTGTTTCTGGTAACAAATTTTCTTTCGTAAATGTTGAACTACTTTCCGATAGATGGAGCAACAAGTTAGAATTGGAATTATTCTTTGATTTATAAAACCCTGAATATTCCACCCAGTTTTTATGATATAAAATGTCAGCTATTGAATGCGTATCAAAACGCTTTCCCAATGTCAGAGTGAAAACTAAAGAGAATGAACATTTTTTATTAATTATATTTGCACGATGGATTTTAAAAATCCTTTATTTTTAACAATTATGTATTAACAATAACAGTTATTTATATTTATTAATCTAAATATACATTAGACAATTAGTAGTTTGTGCAACAAGAGTGGATATGATGGCCATATCGCACGAAGACGAAGTTTGAAATTTTGTTATTATTTACCGTTTTTTTCCAACAAAACCCAAGTTTTTAATTGCGGGAAGCCTGTTTCTCAGTAGAATAAAAATAGTAAATAACTCGACGTATTTCGATTGGTCATATACAGTTAATTGTATATGAGATGATTTTTCTGCCACTACTTGGGGGTCGATAATCCAGGTCAACGACAGCTACTCGTTCTTATACCTTATAATATTCTATAACAGACTTATTTCCATCTGCTTCCTTCTACGTAAACTCAAGTTAATGTACTCAGAATGCAATTATTTACCTCACTCATATTTGTCAACGTCTTAAAATGCACGACTTCGTCTATAATAAATTAAGCTCCAAGTGATCATCTCGAAAATCTAGAACGAAGTGAGCTTCGCTCTTCTATTCTATGCTCATACTGTAAGGAGTTTTCTCGCCACAGAGAAAACTCCTTACGAATGGGGCTGATTACGGGCGGCTCTCGGGCGCCAGATTATTTATTGTGGTTTACTCCACAAACTCTCGAAGCAGCGTCGAAAGTACCCGGGTAGCTATAGATGGAGATGAAAAATTCCAGGAGACAAAGATTACGTAGACCCAGGTAATCGGTAGTCAGAAGTGACAGGCTTTAATCGTCGCTTGCGCTTATAAAGAATATTTCACTAGCTAAAAGTTAAGGGGGAAGTAAAGCAAGTTATTAGAACTTCTTTAGTAATACGGCCTGATAACAGTGACACATATATTGTGAATAACTATTTGCAAATTGAAAATAAAAAAAAATATATATTTCAACGCCCACCCTCGTTGCGATGTTAGTCAATATAACTCTGAACAAAAAAACGGACGGTATTAAATCCCGACTAGTCTCAATCAGACGTCAAAATTGAACTAAAATAAAATGAGTGTTTCGGTTGCAGAAAAAATTAACTTGACTACTTAGTCGGTAATTAAACTAAAACATAATTTCCCATTTCGGTAAGGGAAATTTCTAAGAGCGGTCGTAGCAAAAATTAACTATTTAACTGTCGCAGCGGGAATTAAACTAAAGTGTACTTTACTATTTCGGCAAGGAAAAATTATCTATACGATCGCAGAGAGTACGAGGAGACAGGATTGTGAAAGAAGTACTTGTAGCAAATATTCGGTAAGAAAAAAAATTGATTTATACCCGGGGTAGCCTTTTATTCCAGAATGAGCTGATCGTCATCACGAGCCCGCTCAGACAGGGTAATGAAGCTATTTAAGATTTCTTAAATTTGCGATTCACCCGAAAAAATAAAGAATATAAGGGGAAAAAGAAAAACTAACGCGTATAGCACCTAATTCAAAAATGAGCTGATCGTCATCACGAGCCCGCTCAGACAGGGACAGGATGCTATTTAAGGTTATTTAAATTGACGGTGAAAGAGAAAACAAAACTATTAACAGAGGGAAGAAAACTACTAACGCGGATAGTCCCTAATCCACAAATGAGCTGATCGTCATCACGAGCCCGCTCAGACAGGGACAGGATGCTATTTAAGATTATTTAAATTTGCGGTTTGCACGTTAACAAAAAAAAAAAAATATAACGCGGATAGTACCTAATCCAAGAATGAGCTAATCGTCAACACGAGCCCGCTCAGACAGGGATAGGATACCACTTAAGATTATTTAAATTTGCAGTAAAAGAGGAAACAAAACTATTAAAAGATGGAAAACGTCTCCTCGAAAACTCCGTTTCTAAATATTCCCAACTTATTTATAACGCGACACTTACTAAACAAAAGTATTTATCAATGAAATTAAAGTTAATTCCCGATTTGACCTACCAAAAAGAAAAGTTTAATTTCTTAGGTCAGCCTAACTACAAAATTTCTAAATCAACGGTATTACAATTTTAAAGAACCAAATCCTATCATTTATTTAAATCAAATTCAATTCCCTTTAAAGAAACGATATTCTATTTTTAAACAACTTCTAATATTTATTAATTAAATTAAATTAAATTACCGGTTTGAGACTAACAAAAAAAGAAAAGTTACATTCCTTATATCTTACTTACAACAATATCTTTAAAAACGGCATTGTATTTGCACTCAACAACGAATTAAACGTTCCTATTTCTAAAAGATAAATCGATTTTTAAATTAAACTAAATGCGGTCTAAAAATAAAACGTTTCTTCTATAAAAACTGAAGCAAGATTTTTTACCTATCGGATTAATAAACACGATACGAAAAATCTATCAACGGCGGACCTAATTTAATGCGGCTTCTAATTTAATGCGGCTTCTACTTTAAACTGTCTGAAATCAAGTGCCTCTCCAAATCCTTTTATTTCGTGACGAAAGCGAGAGAAATTCCCACCAACGACCAGTACCACCGCGTATTGATATGTCGATCGGTGGTGTACAGCTGCTTTAGCCTAGGACAAACATTTCGAGAGCGTTAAATATTTATTAAAAATGAAAAATTAAAATAAACCGATTGAGGAAAAATTGACTTCATTACAATACGACCTTGGAAGTTTTAGCTATATCTGCCGTACTTTACAAAATACTAAATTATTTTAGTATCATTTTGGCAATTTAAAAACTTTTTGAGTAATTCTCTTCATTCGAGTTTATATACATACAAATATTCAACACAGAACTAATCTCCGAGTGGAAAGTTGCCAACTTCTTAGAAAATGTCGAGTAATCGGCTCGCTTCGCTTTAAATAAATATCATGAATGAAAAAGATTTGTTTGAAGGAGTTGTACTTTTGTGTTGACCAATGTAACTCCAGCTTGATTTGTTCAGTAAACTTTCGACTTTTTCGTTTATCTAAACGTTACATTTCATAAACTTTATAATTGGATGTAAAGATGTAGTCAAATCAAGAGGTTTCTTTTTAACCTTTTTATAAATAAAATTTATATTAATATTGTTAATATCAGTTTTTATTTATTTTGTACAAGAAGAAATGGGATTATGCTTATGATTTAGGTAAGTTAGGAATAGTAACTTATTTTGATGCCAATTAAATTATAACATACGCTTTTTAACCCAAGGCAATAAATATCAATAAAATATTTTTTATAGTGAGATAAATATGTAAAAACTTTGGTTCACAAAAGAAAAAGGTTTTTTAAAAGAAAAAATAATGTGTGCGTATACGCATCTTTGGCCATAAATAGTTGCATTATTTTATATAAAAAAAATAAATTAAGAAATTAACGTGTTTGAAAATTTTTAATATGCCTGAGAAAACCAAAGAATATACTAGAAATGAAGTAATTAAAATTATAAATGCCAGAATAAGTTTAAATCTAACAACTACCGATATATCTTGCAGAATAGGTAGAAAAAACGAAAATTAAAATTCTAGAGGAATTTTTGTTAAACTAAATAATTATGAAACTAGACAAAATATATACCTATATTAAGAAGAAGCTATTAAAAGGTACAGGCATAGTAATTAGAGAAGGTCTAACAAGTTGAACTTCTGAATGTGCAATTATAAAATTTGGATTAAAGCAAGTATGGACGAACGCAGGAAAAATATACATAAATACAAAAAACAAAGTTTGGTTCGTAAGAAATAAGCGAGATCTAGAAGAAATAAATAATTGTTTACTGAATTCATTTCCATATTATTCTATATTATATTTTTTATTATTCTAAAATGTTTATCATCTGCTATATTTTTTGATTAAATTTAAAATTGTATTTGCATTTTTTCTGATTGGGTGTTTTCTTATTTCGTAGTTGATAGTTATAGATACTTATGCTCGAATAGACTAATGCTTTAGATAATAGTCAAAAAATAGAGACAAGAATATGAGATAGTTTTAATAATTATTTTCAAGGGAGGTCTTGGTGTTATCCTTTTTAATATTAGAAGTTTAACAAAGCACTTACATGAAATTTTAGTATATGAGCCGTTTATTTTAAAAGGGGCCATTTATACTTAAATTAATAATAATAATAATAATAATAATATTTATTCATACAAAAAACACAATAATAAGTAAGATATAAACGCAGCTTGTGATATTTAACTAATATTATAAACAACAACAAAAAAAATTCTAATACCTACACAGATTAAAAAAAATATATATGAAATTGTATAAATAAATAAAATACTCGATAAGCGAGTAAACGGTTGTTTCGAAATAAAACAATAACTAGAAAGAGATACTTAACTAATAACTAAAACTAAATTAAAATTACAGAAAGAACATTCGAATTTAAAATAAACTTATTTATAAAGTTAATTAAAATTAGTTTTTTTTTATTTTATTTTTGTTATTAGAAGTAACGAAGTGGTCATTTCAAACTCCTAATTTACAAAGTGATTTTGAATCAGGCTTCGAGCATTTTCAAGAATAAACTCTTTCAATTTCGTTTTAAAATGGGTTGTATTTTTCATATCTTTAATGTGGTCTGGTATCATATTGTAAAATTTGGGTGCCAAAT